ATGTTAATTGCCACTTGTCAGCCCAAGCCTGGATATTGTCCAGATCTTGTTGCATTTGAACATGGACTGCTTCAGTATCTGAGGAGTCGCAAATGTTGCTGAACATTGTGCAATCATCGACGAACATCCCTACATCTGACCTTATGATGGAGGGAAGGTCATTGATGAAACAGCTGAAGATGGTTGGGCCTAGGATATGACACTGAGAAACTCCTGCAGAAATACCCTGGAGCTGAGATGATTGACCTCCCACAACCACGACCATCTTCCTATGTGTCAGGTCTGACTCCAACCAGTGGAGAGTTTGCCCCTTGATGCCCATTGATTCCAGTATTGCTAGGGCTCCTTGATACCACACTCGGTCGAATTCAGCCTTGATATCAAGGGCTGTCACTCTCACCTCACCTCTGGAATTCAGCTCTTTTGTACATGTTTGAACCAAGGCTGTAATGAGGTCAGGAGCTGAGTGGCCCTGGCAGAACCCAAACTGGGCGTCACTGAGCAGGTTGTTGCTGAGCAGATGCTGCTTGATGACACTGTTAATGACACCTTCCATCACTTTACTGATGATCGAGAATAGACTGATGGGGGTGGTAATTGGGCGGGTTGGATTTGTCCTGCTTTTTGTATACAGGACATACTTAGGCATTTTCCACATTGTCAGGGAGATACCAGTGTTGTAATTGTATTGGAACAGTTTGGCTAGGAGAGTGACAAGTTCTGGAGCACAAGTCTTCAGTACTATTGCTGGAATGTTGTCAGGGCCTGTAACCTTTGCAGTATCCAGTGTCTCCAACCGTTTCTTGATATCACGTGGAGTGAATCGAATTGGCTGAAGACTGGTATCTTTAATGCTGGGATCTACTTCTACTAAAGTTTGCTGTGAATGCTTCTGCCTTATCTTTTGCACTGATGCGCTTCGCTCTTCCATCATTGAGGATGGGGATATTTATGGAGTGTCCTCCTCCAATGAATTGTTTAATTGTCGAGCACCATTCATGACTGGATGTGGCAGGACTGCAGAGCTTAAATCTGATCCATTTGTTGTAGGATCACTTAGCTCTGTCAATCACTTGCTGCTTTTGTTGCTTGGCATGTAAGTATTCCTGTTCAGGTTGATACCTCATCTTCAGGTTTGCCTGGTGCTGCTCCTGGCATGCCCTCCTGCACACTCCATTGAACCAGAGTTGATCCCCTGGTTTGATGGTAATGGTTGAGTGGGGTGTATACCGGGCCATGAGGTTACAGATTGTGCTGGAGTACAATTCTGCTGCTGTTGATGGCCCACAGCATGTCATGGATGCCCTGTCTTGTTAGATCTGTGCGAAGTCTCATTTTGCACGGTGATAGTGTCACACAACACGATGGAGGTTGTTCTCAACGTGAAGGCGGGACTTCGTCTCCACAAGGACTGTGCGGTAGTCACTCTTACTGATACTGTCATGGACAGATGCAAATGCAGCTGGAGGATTAGTAAGGATGAGGTCAGGTATGTTATTCCCTCTTGTTGGTTCCCTCACCACCTGCTGCAGACCCAATCTAGCAGCTATGTCCTTTAGGACCTGACCAGCTCGATCTGTAGTACTGCTGCCGAGCCACACTTGGTGGTGGATATTGAAATCCCCCACCCAGAGTACATTTTGTGCTCTTGCCATCCTCAGTGCTTCCTCCAAGTGTTGTTCAACATGTAGAAGTACTGATTCATCAGCTGAGGGAGGACGGTATGTGATAATCAGCAGGAGGTTTCTCGCCTGTATTTAACCTGAAGCCATGAAACTCATGGGGTCCGGAGTCAATGTTGAGGATTCCCAGGGCAACTCCCTCTCGACTGTATCCCACTGTGCCACCACTCCTGCTGGTCCTGTTCTGCCGGTGGGTCAGGACATATCCAGGGATGGTGATGATGGTGTCTGGGATATTGTCTGTAAGGTATGATTCTGAGAGTACGACTATGTCAGGCTGTTGCTTGACTAGTCTGAGAGACAGCTCTCCCAATTTTGGCACTAACCTGCAGATGTTAGTGAAAAGGACTTTGCAGGGTCAACAGAGCTGTTTATGCCATTGTCTTTTCCCGTGCCTAGGTCAATGCCAGATGATCCATCCGGTTTCATTTCTTTGAGGCTTTGTAGGGATTGATACATCTAAATGGCTTGCTAGGCCATTTCAGAGGGCAGTTGAGATTCAACCACATTGCTATGGGCTGGAGTCACATGTAGGCCAAACCAGGTGAGGGTGGCAGATTTCCTTCCCTGAAGGACATTAGTGAGCCAGATGGGTTTTTCCGATAATTGACAATGATTTCATGGTGATCAGTAGATTCTTAATTCCAGATTTTTTTTATTGAATTCAAATTCTACCAACTGTTGTGGCAGGATTTGATGCCCAGGTCCCCAGAAGGTTAGCTGAAGTTTTTCTGGATTGATAGTCTAGAGACAATACCACTAGGGCATTGCCTACACCTACCAAAGGCAGCCCCACATTTCAGTGATGTTTCCCTAGAGGTTCCCTTCCATGGCATCCAGGAGAGAAGGGATATACTGTCTGCAAGGGATGAGAACAAAAGGCCATTCCCAGTCACTGAGGCAGCCTGGTCTACAGTGGTTGTGGCAGTCATCACTCATAGCAACCAGAGGTAAGAGTGCACATAGTGGCTCAAGAGGATGGATGATCTCTTATGTTCCATCAGAGTAAGCACACCTGTCTGCTCAATGCTTCAATCCCCTGAGTGTGTGTTAGCATTGTAAGCTATTACCACTGCATAGGAATATCACACACAAAATTGCTCATTTAACAACACTGAACCATATTTTATACAGAATCCCTCAACTCTTAACTCCTCCCAAACCATATTCTTCTTAAAAGTAATGAACTCAGATAATCATGGTCTGGAAGATTCCCACATCTTATCTGTAAGAATCAATGCAGGCATAATGCTTGTGTAGCCATGCTAATGTCCCTTCATGCTTTTACCTTTCTGCAGGAGACCAACGTACATCACCAGTAGATGAGAGGCAGTGAGATTGGGGGAATGCCTAACATATGACCTTTCACCCCCTTCAAAGGAACTGGCCACTGAGCTGACAAGGCAGGAAGGGGAATGTGCCTGTGCTGAAGGAAAGATTGGATATGTTCAGCCACCTAGTGAGAAATCGTCCAAGCAGCTAATACCAACTGTTCATCAAGAATCAATGCTGCAATGAAACTTTGGGTATGGACGGTGCATTGTGACATTAACAACTCTTTCCGTTTATTTTTCAGCTTCCAGAATGCAGAGCCAAGCTAGGGCCCTGAGAGGAAAAATCCCAGTGCCAAAAAAGACAGCTCTGAGGAGGAACAGCTGGCATCCTCAGATGAAGCACAATAAAGGACTTCCTCCCCACGGTCCACCAACCCGTACAGAGAACTTCCACCTCAGTGTATCATGGATCTGGAGTATGCTCGGGCTCACATTCTAGGGAACACAG